GGGCAGTGGCCTCGCCCACCTCTGCGCTTCACCCTTCCCGCTGTGGGTGTGCTTGGCCAAGGGACCCTCCACAGCCAGCCTTTGGTGTGAAGGAGCCCTTCACGGGAGCGGGGATAGAGCAACACGTCGCCTGTGTGGTGTCGTAGGCCCTTGGTGCAAGCGAAGGTGTACAACTGTCACCCCTATTGGTGACACAGAAGGGACAGTGGGCTGCAAAGTTTGTTGGGGAGAAGTTCCTCTATCTGAACCAGATCATGAGTCTGCAGACCAAACATCTAAGGCTTTGTTGTTATCTTTTTCTTCAATAAGTATCTGGCCACTTCTCTTCCAGCTGAGTTTGGTTTTGTCAGGTGCAAGTAGACTTTGTTTTCTGTTATTGGTGAGCAGGCTGGATGCTCTGTAGCATGTGCTGATACCAGAAACAGATATGGTGGTCTGATAGCTAAGTCTTGGTTCTGTCTGTTTTCCTTAGAAACTGATTTGGTTTATTTCTATCAGTTCCTAAAACAGCAAAATACCAAGTGAAGTAGGAGAGAAGTATTAAAATAATTATAGCACTAATAGATTAACACAACAGTTGTTTAGGTAACCCATACATCTAGCCTTATCAACACCAGTCTGATTTATAATCATTCTATGTCTTTTGCAGCATATGATCCTGAAATTTTAATTTTATAGAACTTATCAACGGACATCCATCATGTCTTGGCTTGCTGATCTTGCTGGAAAGGCAGAGGATCTACTGAACAGAGTTGATCAAGGAGCTGCATCAGCTTTGAGCAAAAAAGACCCAGGAAGCAGTGCAGTTTATGATAATAAGAATTTGGACTCTGCCAGTGAATATTCTGAATTGCGCCAGCATCCTGGAGAACTGAAATATCAGACGTCACCCAAAGCAGCCTACATCTCCTCAGCAGCTGATAATATTAAACATCAAAAGGCCACAATCCTAGCAGGAACAGCAAATGTTAAACCAGCACGTAGGACATCTTCAGAAGTTGCTTCTCCAGTAGAAAATGTTTCCACACCCAGAGCTGCCTCGCATTTTGTGAGAAGAAAAAAGTCAGAACCTGATGATGAGTTGCTGTTTGATTTTCTCAACAGTTCAGAGAAGGAGCCTAATGGAAAAATGGACTCTAAAACTAAAGAGAAGAGCAAGGCACCTGTTATTCAAAATCACTCTCGGACTTCAAGCATTAGTTCTGTGTCTACCAGTACACAGAGTGCAAAAACTACTGAAGAGAATTCCATCAGGAGCCAAGGCAATGGTAGTTAAATAGTATTGAACCTCGTGATTTTTAAAACCAAAGTATGCCTAGGGTAAGGCTAGGTAATGGATTTACTGTAACTTCATGAAACGTTTGGTGGTAGTATTATGTGAGTAGTACAGCAGGGTCCTTAGCATTTTTGCATCACTGGTATAATCTTAGATACTATGCTAGTTTGACATGCGGCATAATTAATGCCTAAATCTTTTTTGTGTTCTCGATCTGCTGCATTGCTACTCTCACTTTGACCTCTCTGAGCTATGACCTAACCTTGCGTCAGCCCTCATGCATCCCTGCTTAGAAGCATAGGTGCTGATGCATTTATTTGATCAATTGGGCCTTTACCTGTTGTTGCCACGTAGGAGAGTTGAGTGGCTTTCACCAGCTGGTAGATGGTATTGGCTGTTGACCAATGCACCATCTGAGATGATGTGAGGTTTTCTGTTCCACCATGGAAGAGGTGTAAGCTGTCAAACTTGCTTGTCCTGCAGAGTGGGAAGTTGGATGTAAACAGGCTGTTGTAGAGCTGCTGGCGCGAGAGTGCTACATAGATAAAGCCTTCGGGTTTGCCAGAAGTAGTTCATTACTGCAGTCTAAATCCAGACGCTTGAAAGAGCCTCTAGGCCAGATGGTCAAAAGTTGGGGCTATTCTTAAGTCAATGCAAAGGAGAAGGTGTCTGGGAAGCATCAGGAACCTGTGTTCTCTATCAGACTGTCCAATCTGTACTAAGTCCTTGCTGTTGCTGTGCCTACTTTGCTGTTGTTTATTCTACAAAATTGAGGAAAATGGTTTTATTATTTCTTAATAATGTAGTTAGAATACTTTTATTATTTGTTCAGTACTTTGAGAGTGTAAAGCATTGTAAATGCCAGTTTTTTACTTAATGTATTAAGAATGCTGAAAAGTTTCAGATGTGAAAAGGGATAATTTTCAAAGATGTGAATATTTTTGTATTTCTGGGTCGATAACTTTTCAATAAGGTTTACTACTACTACTACTACTAATTCAAATATATTAAACCTGGCTGTATGGCCTTGCAGATTAGTGGTTAAGGAGCGTATTTGTTTTGCTCAGTGTAGCCTGTTGTATTCTCTTCTGAGGATTTTTGAGTGGAGTTTGCATTGTGGAGCTGCTGAATGAGGAGGCACATGATTACAACATAGAGTTTGAGCAGGCTGGTTTCAAAGTTGATTGTCTAGATATATCTGTGTCATTTAAATGTTCTGTATAGCATCTGTTGAAGTTAGCTATAGACAAAAAAAAATTAACGTTACACTTTGTATGTTGCCATCGCTAGAATCTAATATGTGCTATAAATGGCTAATCTCTTGCTTCGTTAGCTTCATTAATCTGTTGAGTTTTCCAGGCAAAGGAATGAGGATAAATTGTCTGATAATTTGGAAATTGTGTAAATGAAGCAAAAGGAAGGAAACAACACTTCTTAGAATCGTTTAAATAGGAAAGGGGTTTGAGAAAACGTGGAAGAAATCTTGCTGTCACTACTGCTACTTGTCAGTGTGGTGGTGTTCAGAATTAATAGTCTGCCCCAGCTCCCTGGGCTCTGGGTGATAGGGTCTGTTGCAGTGGTAACAAGGAAGGTGGAGCAGATTGGTTGGTGGTCACAAGGTGAAGTAAGTAAGGTTGTGACAGCTAAACTGCGGTCTTTCTTGGAAATTGGTTGCAGTCTATCCCCCTGGATTTTCCGCAGTTACTCATCTGGGACATACTAAATTCAGAAGTAGTATTTTTGGATTGCCTGCTTGTTTGCTCATTGCATGCTATGTTGTTTTATCTTAACACTGCTGCAAGGCTTCCAGCTACCTGCACACTGGAATCAGGACTGTTACAGTGAAAGTATCAGTTTCACAGCATTAGTCCAGGACGCTCAGTGTGTGTTTGTGCATGATGAAGAAAGGCTTTTGATTTCTCCTTCCCTGCAAGGGACTGTTGTTCAGAATATTGCCAGGAGTTCCCTTACTGTTCTCACTGAGGTTCTAAGATGTAAAAAAAGAAAAAGAATAATCTGTATTTTATTTCCATAATCTAGAGAATTACAGTTTGCATTGGCAGAAAGCTTTTAAGAGTTTGACCAAATATATCTACCTTATATTTTTTCATTAGAGAAAGATTATGCTTCTGCTTCAAATCACTTCAACATGATTTCTCGTAGTGACAGTGCTTTTGAAAAAATATTTTGAGAGAATTATTAATACAGACTTATCAGTAAGATTGTTTTCACTGAAATTATTCTTAAAATGCTTTTTTACATAAAGATAATTAAAATACATAACTATGTGGCTGAGTTACATATTTAGGTTTGATATCAAAATGACTAAGTATAGTCATCTGAAGAGATGTTTTAAAATGAAATTTACATCCTTGAAATCAAAATCTTAATGGAAAAGCAGAATGAGTTAGTTAGTTGCTGTGTATGTTTAGTCTCTTCTGTTACTCTCTCAGCTTCTGAAGACATCTCTGGGCAGCATAGTCATAAAAAAGTAAATCCTAAATTTGACATTAATGTAGTAGGAAATTTTATAACTTCCATGTCTTGTCTCGCAGGATTAACAAAAACACTGCATGATGCATGTATACTCTGTAATAGTTCTATTTTGTGCAAGCCCCTTGGGAGAAGGAGCTCCATATTCCATTTCAATATAAGCTAATTTGATTATATTATTGTTATTTTATATTAGGCATTTAACCACTGGTGCAGAACATGGAATTTCTGCCCATATCAAGGCAACTTACAAATACATATATTAGTTCTAACTTGCATCTCTCTGTACAGAAACTCCAGACAGTTCAGATTCTGGACTGGGAGCACAAGGGGATGGTGTGAAGGATTCATCACTAAGTAGAGTAACTAATGCTAACCTTTTGGCTAATGATGATTTCAAATCACATGAGCTATCCAATCTTCGCCTGGAGAATCAGCTGCTGCGCAATGAAGTTCAATCTTTAAATCAAGAAATGGCTTCATTAATTCAGAGGTCCAAAGAAACCCAAGAAGGTACTGTGGTTTGGAAACTCAACTATAACATATTACTAAAATGCCAGTGAACTAGAAAACAATGCTGTTTCTATGTTAGCGTGTTGTATTTATAATAAAATCTTTCTAGTTTAAATTTGCATGTATGGCTTACCAACCAAAATGGTTCTTGGTTTCAGAATAATGAGTTTCAAGAGAAACTAAAAGGCTTGTTCAACTACAAAGATAACACAAATGTTGATTTAAGTAATGTGATCAAGTTAGTTCCAAAACTTACATCTCATTAAAACAGTGTTATCAAATGTTATCAGTATTAAAATATTATTCCTGCATTTTAACAGCTATTGCAAAATACTTATTTTTAAATGAGTAAATTCCTTTAACTACTTCAAATTCTGACTACTTTCTGGCTGTAGGCTATAATCTCCAATGCCTAGAAACTGACAGTAGAAATATAAAATTTAGTGTTTTTGTATGACCTCTCTAGATTTTTCAAAGCCAAATGAAATGACAAATATGAAAACTGTGACTGTAAATTAAACAAATAATAAAACCTTGTGCAAACTCATGCTGTTAGGCATACAACTGAGTGTCCGCATTTTTTTCAAAGTAACCACATGAGCCAGGAATTTTACTTTCTCTTGAAATTTAATATGTGATGTTTGATTAAAACCAGAAGGCTCTCTAAGTATTCAGGCGTTATTTCAACACTGGTGTATCTTTCTACTGTTTTTTAGGTTGAGCTTATTGTCACTTTTAGTTGAACTAGATGCTTTATGCAGAGGTTTCCAAAGGCTTGCTCACACAGGGGTTTTCGACAGTAGGCCATTGCAAGGGGTGGGGCAGGTAAAATTTGTCATCTGCAGTGTGACACAGAATGAAATGCCTGTTTTGAGATCACCTGCAAAGCTTTATGGGTCGTGCTCTGATAGCCAGTCTGGCATTTGTTACTTCTTGGTAGCTCGTAAAGTTTCAGTGTTACTTCAGCTTGGTTGTATTTAATTTCTTTCTTTAAGAAATGTGATGTGTGCATCCTGACCACTTACAAGACCTTGCAATACCTACTTTTATAAACTTCAAAGAAAATTCTTATTTTGTAGAATTGAACAAATCCCGGGAAAGGGTGGAGAAGTGGAATGTTGACCATTCAAAGAGTGACAGGATGGTTAGAGAACTTCAGGCTCGAGTTGATGATCTGACAGAAGCTGTTGGTGCCAAGGATTCACAGCTAGCTGTGCTGAAAGTACGGTTGCAAGAAGCTGATCAGCTCTTAAGTGCTCGGACAGAAGCTTTGGAAGCATTGCAGAGTGAAAAATCACGGTAATTTGTAATTTCATACTTACAATTCTGCAAACAGTAATAAGTTTGAAAATTCAAGGTAGATAACTTAGTCTCTTTTGAGAAGAAAAATTAGTAAACTAATGGAGAAAGGGATTGTATCAAGTTTTGAAATACGAGGATTAAAGTTTGTTCTGAGCCTGCTATATCATAACTGGCAGTGGGAACAGGACAAATGAATATTAAATAGGGACAATTGTTACCTGATTATTTAAATCCATTTTGTATAAAGTATTTATGTTTGTGTCAGAGGCCTGAAGCTGAAGATATCAAGAAAAAGGTTTTTGTCTTGAAAAACACATTTGTTTATCCACAAATGTGAAGACTTTTCTGACTTATCTCAGTGCTGGGGTATGAATTGGCAATTGGATGCTCCAGAATATAGGTCAGGGAGGAGATGCATGAGTCATTAACTCCAGGCCTCACACCTGTAGCCAGCCATATTTGATAATTTACTGAGTAAATTTTCAAAGCTGGTCTGAAAACCAGGTAGTCATACTTCTTCCTGAAAAGATTTCATCTTTTTCCATTAATATGTATATCGCTCTTTCAGGATAATACAAGACCACAGTGAAGGGAGCAGTTTGCAAAATCAAGCCCTTCAAACTCTTCAAGAGAGGCTGCGTGATGCGGACTCTGCACTCAAACGAGAGCAAGAAAGTTACAAACAAATGCAGGTTAGACATGAAGAGTAAGGAAGACTTTCAGACTCTACTTTTGAGTTCAGATCTGTGAGATTCCAATTGCTCTCTCTTCCCCTTGACTTCAATTCCTGTGCCAGGGTACTAAGTGCTTGGAAGGATGTGCTGTCTGCTGCACTAAGTATCCTTAGGTGCTAGTTTACTTTTTGTCTGTTCTTCTGAAAGCTTCATGATTAAAAGTTTTTGAGGATTAATGCTGATAATTTTTACTGGTTTTTTCATAACAACTTTAATGTTATCACTTGTTTTAAAACTAAATCAATAATCAGTTTAATTTTCATGGTATGTTGTTACATAACAAACTGTTACAGAACCTTAATATGTATTCTTAAGAATATTAAGCTGGACGGTCATTTCTGTGGTAAAGATGTGAGTACATCATTGCTAGAGACTGCTTTCCACACTTAGCTTGGCCTTTGTTATGTATAATAGCATCTTTGAAAATCTTCATCAGTGTCTGGGGTTTTTTTTAGGTACATCAAAATATGGCAGACTACATTTGATAACATTTTTTGAGGGGAAGCTTGCTTTTTGTTTATGAAATAAACATAAATAATAGGAAGATTGCTATTCACCCACTATTTCTGGTGAGGGAAAGAAATGCATATTTTTACTGATATTATTTATCACTTTCTTAAGCAAGCAGGATTTCTTTCCATATATTACTGATGCGTCTTTAAGTTGGAGGTGGTAGATATGAGGTGTTGTGTCATGTGTAGTTGCTTTTAAACTTTCTTTTTTCCTTTCTAGGTTAAAGTTGAGACTGTGTTTAAACACAAAGTATTGTTTCTTTATTGCTAATAGAATGAATTTGCGGCTCGTCTAAGTAAAATGGAAGCAGAACGTCAGAACTTGGCAGAAGGGATAACTGTAGCAGAAAGAAAGTATTTAGATGAAAAGAGGCGAGCTGATGAGCTTCAGCAGCAAGTCAAAGTAACTAAAAACCACCTAGAATCTGCAAAACAGGAACTGGCAGACTATAAACAGAAAGCAACTCGCATACTCCAAGTAAGCATTTCTGTAAAGAAATCCAGTTTGAATTGTACACTTTTTATGGTGTTATGCTTCAAATAATCTAATTTGCGGGATTTTTTTAATGTGACCTGTAATATATTTGGGGGCATATCTATAATGATACCTATACAGAACAGCTACTAGTCTGCATTTTTTGTAAATTTAAGTTTACAGATTAAGTAATTGAAATGGAAGTTCAGGTCCTGAACTTAGAGAAAAATCCAAGTGAACCATTGCACTTTATTGTGCAACGTCTGTCAGTGTGTTCTGCATCTAAGAGTCCAAACTTTGGTGGATAGATAAATAGGTGTAACCTGCAATTTGTTCCACACCCAGTATTCTTGAGTCAAGAATATTGCTCTATTCTGCTTGAGGCTGAAACATAGTATATAATGGATACTTATGTGTGAACCAAAGAAAATATTTTTATATATTCTAAAAGGTTGCATGTGATCAGCATTATATAAACAATGGCAAAATTAGGTATTTTGTGCAGACTTCTATGCTACTGAAGTTGTCAAAGACACCAAATCCAAACATGGCCAATTTGAGTCTTGTTTATAAAAGTTAGCAATACGTTGAAGATAAAGATGTCTGTCTATAATAATTAATTTAGTCTGATATCCAAGGACAGGTTTTAAATCATCTTGATAAATATCAGAAGTCAATGTTGAGCTAACATTAGGCTGACTCTGAATAAAATGTTTCGTCCTCTTTCCCAGAAGAGTTATTGCTGTATTTGGCTCTTATTTGTCTTTGTTGGCAGGTGAAGGGATGGAGTAAAAGGGGATCAGTTTTGTCTTTAATCTCTGTTAGTGTCCATCTTCTCTCTTATGGTAACTGGAAAGCCAAAATTATTATCCACGACATGTTTAACATTCCAGGCACTTCTAAAGAGGAAAGTTGTACTCTTCCTCAGATAACACAGGCTTTCAGTAAATCCAGTCTCATGGCACATATGAATTCAGAAAAATTATCAATAGGGAAGCATTTTATTTTTAAAATGTGTAGAATCATTATTAACTTGGCTAAAAGAACAGATAAAGCAGTTTTTTTACTGGATGTCTGCATTTGAATTTCAGAGCAAGGTCATTTTGGCATATTCTAGTTGAGCACTTGTTAAATACTGCAGTTAATGGTATATTGATTTATTATTTCAGTCTAAAGAAAAGTTGATAAACAGCTTAAAAGAAGGCTCTGGTATTGAAGGCCTGGATAGCAATACTGCGAGCACAATGGAACTAGAAGAACTGCGACATGAGCGAGACACTCAGAGAGAAGAAATACAAAAACTAATGGGGCAAATACAACAGATGAGGACAGAGCTGCAGGTACACTTTTATTTGTAGTTAACCACGCACAAAGGAGTGTTTTCTTGTATACTTCAAGACTTCTAGTGTGTGTTTGACCTACTATTAAAATAAGCCAACTTTTGCTCAAGGTGAGACAAGTACTTATTTGATACCCAATTTCCTTCCATGTTCTCTCTCAGCACTTCAAGTCATGTGGGAGGAATATTATAGATACCACTTCTCTTCCCTCACTACTGTGTGTTCCTTTTGAGGGAAGCATTTCCTTCCAAACAAGCATCATGATTTCTGTAGAGATCACCTACATCCTTTTCTGCAAGGGCTACTAATCCTTGAAGCAACTGTAATCAGAGTTGTCTGCTGGCATAATTGTCTCAACCCCGCAGTTGCATGCAAGCATACTTTACACAGTTTTAGCCTGTAGACAGTAGAAGGGAAAAAGTGGAGGCTTTTTATGTTCCCCAAATGCATTTATTTTACTACTATTTTAGTATATTTTATTACTATCTTAGTAAAAATATTCTGTATAAAATGACCAAATGTCATTCAATACATCCTCACCTTCATTTTCCTTTGAAGCAATATTGCAGATACAACTTTTTTTTTTTGCTGTTACCGTGGCAGATTTGCAGTATTGTTTGAATGTTAATGAAATGGTAATGTTTTTGTTCATCTCAGGATATGGAGACTCAGCAGGTAAGTGAAGCTGAGTCAGTGAGAGAGCAGCTTCAAGACCTACAAGAGCAAATAACAGCACATAAAATGGCCAAACAAGAGGCAGAAGCTGAACTAGAAAGGCAAAAACAGGTAAGGAATTCTTGAAAGCTGATTGGCCTTATTTTATGCCACATGTGGTGTCATTAGTAAAGCATTTGGCTTAGTAAGAGAGTAGCTTATACTGTATTTGTGTTATTTTTTGTTTAGTATTCCAAAGAAATCCCCAAAAGCTTAACGAATGTCACTAGGCCAAATAAAGTGCAACCAGTACTAAGCAATGGACAGGGCCTTCTGGATGCTCCTGATAAACAGAGATCTCTCTGGTGTATTAAAGAGTAAACGTGACCCTAGGGAATGCACAAAATTGATCATGATCTTAAATTTTATTCAGCAGAGGAACAATCGAACAGTAGGGACATAGTAACATTTATAACCATTATTTATATTGAGAAACTCAAATACTAAAAATGGTTACTGTAGAACTTCCTGTGTTCAATTACTGCATAAAATTTAGCTCGTAAAACAATGTTATCATAGTAGCAATTCACAGGGGGGGTTTTAATCCACTCATTACTCTGTTCTGAATCTAAATGTTGTTACTTCCAAACTGCATTATAAGACAAATTGCTGCTAAAATTATATGAATGATTTTTGTCAGACTGTGTCACCTTTTTAAGCAGACTCCCCCTTGATTTTAGCCGTTTTGTGTTAAAAAGAGGGGGGAAAAAAGGAAAACAACTGTTTCATGTGAACAAACTTATTATTCAGTAGAAGTTGGACAAATGCTTTGCACCCTATTAAAAAATTTCTCTGTAAAGAGAATTAATAATGAGGAAAGCAGGAGAGTACACTATATCAACTGGAACAATTTATCTTATAGGATTATCTGTCCTTCCAGAAATTACATTTTAATGTGATGCTAGCAGCTTGAACTAATTAAAAGGCAGAAGTTGAGGTCTGCTCTTGATGGATAGCTGATGTTTATTATATCAAAGCAGAATGTAAATTGTATTTTGTTACTCCTGCCCTTCTGAGGGGTATATTTTAAGACAATACTGCATATAGAGAAAGTGAGGTGAATTAAAAAAAAAAAGGCATTATCAGTTATTACAGAAACTGAACTACTCCTTTTGATGACACACACTTACATGTGCTTTTAAAGTAAGTGTGTGCATTGATACTTAATACAATTATGGTCTGTTTTATCCGGGAATTCCTTTATCTGTTGCCATAAGGTTTCTGAGACTGAAGATGGAAAATAAGTAGGGGTGTTATTTCTTGTACATTTGATGGGAGATTAGGATTATCTGTTTTCTGTAGCAACTGACAGCTGAAGTGATACAGTGATTTGAAGACTGTCTTAGTGTAAAAGATAAGCATCACAGGTCTTTAAGTTGGAGTTAAAATAGCCACTAAATCATGGGAGTAACAAAACTTACGGTTAGCTTTGCTGTTCAGTAACCTGTCCCTTACTAATATTCCTTCCCCTTTCACATGTTATGTTAATTTATCCTAAACTTTGAAGGAGGATCTGTGTCATACAGAATTATAGATAGATATGCCAAGGGTTTTTAAAAACTTTTTAAAAATGGTATCCTGGATTGATGGGTTTATTTTAGGAATACAGATTCCTCCCCAAAGTATTTCCTAATCGTTTAAGTTACATTATTGACATCGTTTCAAGTTAGCAATATAATAAATGGTAAGAGTATAAGGAAGATAAATCATGGTCCCAATGAAACTGTGTGACTCCCAGGAAACTAGTCTGGATAAATACTTAATATAAGTCAGTCTCCACAGAAGAATTTGATAAGTCTTGTAGGTTGTGTCTTCATACTCAGCTCTTTTATTTCTCCCCGCCCCCCCCCCCATTCCTACCCAGACACTTTAAGACTAAATTTTTGGTTTATATTTGATTGCAGAATATTGCCTTCTCACATTCTACTGTGAAACTCTAGCTAAGAGAGTGTCTCTCAAAATACATATATGTATAAAATCTTTTATTTGTGATTGACATGTTTTATAGGAACTCCATTATGCCGAAGAAGAATTATATCGAACAAAGAATACTTTGCAAAGCAGAATAAAAGACAGAGAGGAAGAAATTCAGAAGCTTAGAAATCAGGTACTCTGTGTGTATAGAAAATAACTTTATCACCTTCAATTATGAAAACAGTTATAAGAACTATTAATTTGATTAAACTGTACAAAAGAAACATAAATGCTCTACTAAGGAGTTACAGTGTACTTGTTTTCAATACAGAGTAGGGTTTTGAGTAGAAGGAGTACAAGGAGGGAACCATGAAATAGTAAATAGCCTAATTTATGATTGCACGTGCTTTTGTCTTGGCGGGGGGGTGGGGATAAGTGTCCCACTTAGAATTGATGGGGTGGTGCTGGATAATATTCTTCTTTTTGAAAACTAAGAAAAGTCATTGGCCCTTGATTAGGTCATCATGATTTTTGCAAAGGCCCTTTTAACTTGGCGTAGGAACATAAGTAATGTCCTACAGGCTCAGTGATCCATCTAGCCCACTGTTCTATCTTGGACAGTGGCAGTAGGCCCAGCATGTGAGCCTGGCTGCTTCTTCACTCCCTTGTACTCAGCATCAGCAGTTGAATTAGGGACATTAGCATTTAAGTCCCTATTAAGTCCCACCAGTGTGTTTATGGACCTATTTTCCTTGAATCAATCTAATCCCTTTTGGAACCTTCTGACACTTGTCAGCCCCTACAGTCTCCTTGAGCAGCACGAAGGCATAGGCCTCATTTTCTATAAATTATCTTTATTAAAAATTCTGTAAATTATCACTCATAATGAAAATGAGTCTATATGTAGAGGAATTGATAGTCTAGAGTCAACTAGGGTCAGCTGTACAGTTACAGTATCAGAGGATTTGGAAATTGTTGTGTTGTGATACAAATTTCTTGAGCCTGTTCACGGATGATTCTTCTGGTAATCCAGGCTTCAGGACTACCTGCACCTGCCCTGGTGCATTGCATGTGATTTGTATTTTTGATATCTCGCTGCCTCTCGTTTCTGCCGATTCTCTTTTTTCATCATTGAAGCTGCATCTTTGTGGTATATGATGCTACAACTGGCTGAGGTCCAAGACTGTAGTGAATAGATGAGCTGTTGCACATATGGCTAATCTGATGATTCCCATTTGCTTTAAATATTTTCTGCAAATTGAATGACATGATCCATGTCTTCATTTGCTGACCTTTCAGCTTCTATTTGCTAATACAGTCATGTTTTCTGCCTCAGTGCTCCTCAATTCTTCTGCAGTGTATCCTGCATATTCACCTTTTTCATTCAAGCTTTCCTGTAGAATAGCATCAGATTCTCCCCATTTGTACTGAGTTTTTTCCTTCCTCGCCTGAAAACATTTTACATGCTCACTTGTTTTGTGAAGTTGCAAGTATGATAGCCAGCCTGGATTATCTTGCTATTGTCTTGCCTATCATTTAAACTCAGCTCTGAGGAATAGCATTGATTTTTGTGATCATATGAACAGGAGTGTTCGTATGATTAGAGGTGGAAAACATAGGAATACATTTTTACATAGAGTTCCTTGTGTCATGTACAATCTTGTTTTAGCTACTGTCAAAATTAAGTTTCTTCTTTATTGTGCTCATTGGTGATCATTTTTATGTTATCCCATAAAAATTCTGCAGTGGGGTATCTTGGTTCTTGGAGTGCTTAGATTATTTTATAGTTTTGTAATATGTCAGTTAGTCAAACTTTGAACTTACTCTGATTTTTTTTCTTTGCTTTGTTTTTTTAGCTCACAAACAAGACTCTAAGTAGTAGTAGTCAGACAGAATTAGAAAACCGGCTTCATCAGCTGACAGAAACACTAATTCAGAAGCAAACCATGTTAGAGAGCCTGAGCACAGAGAAAAACTCGCTCGTCTATCAACTGGAACGACTTGAGCAACAGCTGAAGGCTATCCAAGGCACTAATACTAACGGACCTTCCATTAATATGACAGGCATTGATGGTGCTGAAGGTAAATAAGAAAATATAATACTTAAAACTCTGTCCTTTCTACAGTTCAGGCTTTTATATTTCATAATACCTTTCCCTGAAAGTCTTGAGTTCATAAGGAAAAAAAAAATGCTGAAAATGTGCAGCTTATACTGGAGACCTTGTCAACAGCAGCCGGTATCATAAAAAATAGTTAAATAGAAGGTCCTTTTTGTGTGGAAATGACTTTTAAGTAAACTTAATAAAGCCAATTTCATCTTTAATTTTCAATACTATGGCACTATTGGAACAGTCATATTTACAAATACTGTCACAGGTACAAATAAATCTGTCTTTTGGGGTTTAAACTGAATGTCAGAAGCAGGATATAAGTCCTCCCTTGTAAAAAGGGTTTGAGAGGTGAGAAAGAATGGGATACTTCAGAATTCTGGTTGAAATAAATTTTCTTCCTGCTTTCTACTTTTCCTGAAAAGTATCTTAAAATACAGTGGTTCTGCTGAGGTTGGTTTGTCTGTACTGTGTGGCAATCATCCTGTATCGCTAGGAGAACGTCAGCAGTTGATCCATGGTTTTGACATGTCACTTTTCAAAGTCAAAGTTTGTAATCTTGTTTATCTAAGCAATGGACAATTACGAAGAGGTGTAAAATGACAATCCTGACTTCTGTTTCTCTGCTTATGAAAGACTTAAAAGAAATGAGGCAGGAGGACTAGCAAATTTGGAATATATTTCCTTTTGGCTTGGTTTTAAGTAGCTTCAGTAAGCTTAAGTTTAGTTGCACAAAGGTAACATTATCTGAGAATCTTTTTTTTTTTTAATAAAGTTGATACATAGTAAAAAAGTAAATAAAGTAGAAAATTTTGGAATATATAAGTGAGTATCAGAAATGCTGTCAAAGTTTTACGGGATTAGAAATAAAAGCAAATGCAGAAACTGTGACAGTATCAAACCCATCATTTTATATACCTAATAATAATAGAATTATTACTACATGATAGAGTTGAATATCGAGGTGTCCATCTTGTCAACTAAAATAAATTTTAAAAATATACTAAGTTGAAGAAACATTTGACTTAATTGTAAATTTATCAAGAATCCTGCCCTCAAAACACCTTCCTCTGCCCCCAGCAAAATGACACTAACAAATCAGATTAATCACTATTTTTATATTATTTTTATACATCTTTGTTATACACTATCGATTTGTTTTACTTATACAACAGCTTAGCTGGTTTTATACTAATGAAATTTGTTGCTTTTTTTCCCTTGAAATAGGTGCTCGTATGCGTAATGTTCCTGTCCTGTTTAGTGACATGGATACTAACATGGCAGGAATGTATGGGAGAGTTCGCAAAGCTGCCAGTAGCATAGATCAGTTTAGGTAAGAGTGTCCTAAGGAAATATGTTTTGTAATTGGTGGAATCCTCTTGCAGTTTTCAAGTGGCATGCCTTCTCCTTTGAATTGCTTCTGTGTGGTAAAAGTAAAAAATCAAGCTGAAGTAAGGTATAAATTACCAAATATGACCTAGTTCAGTTGTGCTTTGTTATGATATTAATATCCTTGGGCTTTTTGCACATTATAGTCAGTTATTTAAATAACACTCTTGTAGATTTTTTGATACAAGAGAATCACTAAGCTATATGAAAAATACCCTAACCTTTTTCATTACCGTCTTTTACCTTTTGCACTTTCAGAGGTTTTGACTGTGTCTGTGATAAGCACCGTAATCAGTGGGAGAGTATCATATGTATTCTTTTACTCCTATTTTGGAATCCTGGTGAAGACAAGATTTTGGGTTCTAACCCACTGCAGCTGTTACCTTGAAAGATAATCTGTTCGAGGAGTTAGTAAACAGAAATAATTCTCAATCCAGCAAAAGACTTGCTTTGATCCCTTTTCTGAGCAGTTAGGTTAATTGTCAATATTCACAACAAAGGTCTGCTCCAAAGCTTGAATCAAATACCAATAGAAAACAAAATTAGGTAATACTTCTTAATGCTTTGAAAGCATGATACCTTGATAGAAGGTCCTTTATGGCTTCTATGCTACTTTAATTTCATTGTGAAGGATATCAGGATTTCCATGATTGGTACTTACTATATGTGAAGTTTTAATGCTAAACTTCATTTGGCACTATCATACTCACTTCAAGTACGCACACGGTTTTTTTTTAACTGATGTTACCGAGCAGTATCTCGTGCAGTATGCTTTGTAGCACTGTAGCAGTAAACTTGGAAAACCCATGTCTTTTTCATCTAATGAAATATAAGAATGGTAGTGATCTATCAGTTTTTTCAAGAATCCAAGGCTTTTGTTGCTTAAGTCTTTTTTAAAGATTCATGACAGCTCCGCAGGTAACAAAATTTGACAAAGATATAGCATATTTGTGAGTTTTAAAATACCTATACAACTGTTGAGACTTAGCTCATTTTCAAAAACTCTGAGCCTAGTATGTAACAGAAAAACTTAGGAGAATATGTTTTATGATCTGAATTTTGAATTTTCTAACTCCACTTAATGTCTTGAGTACATTAAGTAAAATTCAAGTCAAAAACAAAGCCATGTGTATAACATCAGCTGATGTTTATAGGTTTGTGGTGATTGGAATGAGAGGAACGGGAATTTGTTGCTCAATGCTAACTTTTGCATTTTGTTATTCTCTTGTGTAGCATTCGGCTGGGAATCTTTCTAAGGCGGTATCCCATCGCAAGAGTCTTTGTAATCATTTACATGGTGAGTAAGCTTTCTTTAAAGTAAGAAGTTTAATGCAAGATTTCTGTAGCCAGTTTTATATAACACTTATTAAATTGCAAGATGTTTGATGTTCAAAAGGCTGTATAATTAACAACTCAATTTATTTTTTTGTAAAGCAGACTAAATAGTACTTACATGACAGCATTTTGGAGTTATGTTGCTTGGTGTTCTTAGTTTTTCCCAGGAATTCTTAGCATAGCAGTCTTAAAGACATTTATGTAACTACCATTTAAAAGACTGTAAAAGTAGTGTTTTAGTACTAAAATACAGAATAATAGTGACCTGTTGCCAAGGTTAACCCACAACAGCTGCGTGCACTCCATTTAGGAAAATGTCATCTGCTATAGCTTTTTTTAATATTTGGCACTTCACTTTTTGTTCAGTGACTAATAATCACACTTCTCTACTAGCTGAGAAAATAGCAAGAAAAGTTTTTCTGGCAAGACTTAAACAAATAGTAGAAAGTTGCTCATCCATAGTGGGTGAGGTTGTCAGACTTGCAATTGATGAAAAATTAAATTCCTCCATTTTCCACTGGAGGGCAGATGTCTGTCAGTTTAAGTGACCTGTGGTAAGGTAGGTGTGCAGTCTACCCTGTTTGAAAATACTCGTTGAGCCTTTGAGACTTGAAAATCAAGAAAAAAAATGTTCGTTGAGAAGGCATAATGATTCTTCTGAACAGAGTTTTGGAGAACAGAATCGTAGAATGGTTTGAGTTGGAAGGGATCTTAAAGATCATCTACTTCAAAGCCCCTGCAAGGAGCCGGGACACCTTCCACTAGACCAGGTTGCTCAAAGCTCTGTCCAGCCTGGCCTTGAACACTTCCAGGGATGGGGCGTGCACAACTTCTCTGGGCAACCAGTTCCAGTGCCTCACCATCCTCATAGTGAAGAACTTCTTCTTTGTATCTCGTTTAAATCTACCCACTTTTGGTTTAAAGCCATTACCCCTTGTCCTGTCACTACAGGCCCTTGAGAAAGTCTCTCTCCAGCTTTCTTGTAGGCCCCCTCCAGGTACTGGAAGGCTGCAGTAAGGTCTCCCTGGAGCCTTCCCTTCTCCAGGCTGAACTACCCCAACTCTCTCAGCCTGTCCTCACAGGAGAGGTGTTCCATCCCTCTGATTTTTGTGGCCTTCCTCTGGACCCTCTCCAACAGGTCCATGTCTTTCCTGTGCTGAGGGCTCCAGAGCTGGAGGCAGTACTGCAGGTGGGGTCTCACCAGAGCAGAGCAAAGGGACAGAATCGACCCCCTCGACCTGCTGGCCACGCTGGTTTGGATGCAGCCCAGGATACGGTTGGCCTTCTGGGCTGCGAGCGCACATTGCCGGCTCATGTCCAGCTCCTCATCAAGCAACACCCACAAGTTCTTCTCAGGGCTGGTCTAGATCCATTCTCCACCCAGCCTTTATCTGTGCTTCAGATTGCCCCGACCCATGTGCAGGACTTTGCATTTGGCCTTGTTGAACTTCATGAGGTTCACACAACTGTCACTGTTTCAGGATATAAAGCAGACAGACACAAGTGAATAAAGGAAATGACAGTTTCCCCTGCAATGGCTTCTTCCAGCCTATTAGGTACTGGAAGGAACAGGGCTGTTTAATTCCTAACCTCTCTCTTTCTTCCTGTTCACGGCTTAGACTTATCAATATATGAATAAAATGCTTTGTACCAAAACCCTGAAGACTTCTACCACCTAAGCTGCTATCTGAAGTGAAACTCAATGATAGTTGCATAGGGAGCTGTATATTGGGCAGTCCGTGGCAGTTACCCTTTTTCAGCTTGAAGCTTGACTATGACTTGAATCTTTTTTTTTTTAAGGAAATGTGGCTTATGTAGTCTGTTAATTATCTCCCTTGTTGCACCCCCAGGAACTTCTAATTGGATAGTTTCAGCTAAATTTGAATGAGAATTAACATCCCTAAAAATGCCTCAAGTCAGTGCCTGTGGTAAGGAAAGCAGAACTCAGCTGTTTGTTAGAGTCTGGCATCAGCCAGCTGGCACAGGAGTACTGGCTTAGCAGCCGCTGAGGCAGATCACATAATGTACTGGCTGGGGGCTGGGTATCAGAGAGAACAGCTGGAGTTACTGGGGCTTGGAGGAAAAGAGAAGCCAGAGGACACAAATCTGTAGGAAACCAGGCTGCTTTAGTTTTGCTGTTTGTGTAAAATCTTTAGTTTACTGCCAGTGGCTTCTTGAGAATCTGTCTCAGCATTTCATTGTGCAAATAAGAATTCTTTTTTTTTTTTAGGAGTATCTGAAAAATATTTCTACAAAACGAGGTTTTATTAGCTCTCATTGAGCGTGCTCATATTTACTGCTGCTGTGAACGATGATTGTCAGTGCTGATAAGTTAATTCTTTCTTTTCTTTTCCCAGGCATTGCTTCATCTCTGGGTCATGATTGTTCTACTTACCTACACCCCAGAAATGCATCATGACAGTCCCAGTGGCAGATAGACTGAGACAGGACCGTACGCTGTGCTAATGTAATTCAGACTGGCAGTGTCTTCAGAATAATCAGTCCTGAAATACGAGCGAGCTTTTCCTCATGGTTTTTAGAAAGACTGAAAACCATCATGCCTGATTTGTCACTACTTTTCAAATACATGTATAATACTACATAGCTTTTTCAATTTACCTAGAGGAGTGACTCTTTCCTGGAGAAATAAAGCTATTAAGTTAAGCTATGGTTAGCCTTTACATTTTACATAGACCTTCTCGTGGTTAGTGTAAAAGATAAGGGTTGCACCTACACATAAATGCAAGGACTTCTGAAGCTACAGGTGTATATAATACAAACTATTTTAGATCATACTGGCTGTGGGCTATGGTCAGGTAATAAACTGTACTTAGCAATTTAAATAAACTTTATTCTTTCTGATTTCTTTCAGTCTTCTTTTGCACTTCTGTTTTTAACTTTGTAAATAATAGGTTTTTCCTTAACATGTTAAACTGAAAAAAGGACAATGGATTGGTGCAATATCTTTCTGTAAATACGTTTAAAAATAAAATATTATGCATTCTTCTTAGCTTTGTATTTCCAGTGCAATAGATGTATCTTTCCTACCAGCTGAATAGTGGCAGTGCCTATTTAAGGGCTGGTATTTCGGCTTTGTTAGAGAAAGAGAGATGGTTTTGAGAAACAAGGTTCAAAGGATTTAGAAATAATGGTGTTTCTTTTTGCACTTGAAATTTATATATTTTACCTACATTTTCTTATACCTCTCATTACTACGCATCTTAATCTTATATTCATCAAAATATTTATTTTCTAAAGCTTTGGGTACTTAATTAAAACTATTTCTATACAAAATCTATCAAAACCACAAATTTCTCATTACCAAATATATGAATAAACAAACCTCATCAAATATTTATCATAAACCCCTAACTGTAATAGTTCTATCATTAGACCGTGGCATTCCATAAGTATGAATTCTCAATACAAAATAATACAAGGTCACTTTCATTCCCTAAGAAATTTCTTGTTTTCTTGTGTGGTGCTCAAAGCTGAGTAGTGAAAAGATGACTACAAGCGATTTGTCACTCCTGCTGTTAAGAATACAGCTCAGTTTTCACGTGACTTGCACGCGCTAAGCATTAGTCCTGTGCGCGAAGCCTGTCATGCTAACTCCTACGGAAACGTTACAGTGGACAAATGACTGTGTTGCTGCTCTGATGCAGATTGTGCAGAGAAAACTGGAATGTTTCAATGAACTAAGTAATAAAAGAGAGCATTTATTGTAACCTGTGTCCCTGCCCTCTGTCACATTTGCTGTGCTTTGCCTAATTCCTGTTGCCTGTTTTCTTTTCAATTCTGGTGTTAAAGCCACTTTGGAACCCTGGGGAGAGCTGGTTGCTATACAAGGAGATCAGGTAAGGTCCTTTGTACAATCTTTTTCTATGGACATACTTTTTTTTTCATTTAAAACCTCCACTGAATCTTTGGATACTCCAGTATCCTGTGACTACCTGGGGGGGAACATTCTTGGCTGTATAAGCCCCTTACAGCTTTGCTGACATCACGCCAACTGCACATCAGTTCCTGCTTCCTTTCTCCCTGTGTTTTTCTCTTTTTACTTCATTTGATATTTCTTTTTTTGTCAAGATCACGTCTTGGAATCCATAGATACTTTTTTTTTTTTTGGTAACTTACTAAAGCCACAACGGTGCTTCTAGAACCCTTTATCGTAGATTAGCATTCTCTTCTTCAGTTATCACAGATTTTACGGTAGAAACTTTACAGGGGTAAGCACTGA